AGGGACCCCAAATCCCATATTTTCTTGGGAAAAAGCACTCAGCTGATTGCTCTCAAGATCGGTATTCAAAAATGACAACACATCATTTTCTGTAGTCTACAATTTGATCAAATAGAATGAAATTCAGATCATAAAAGAACCCCATTAAAATTTCTGCATATGGAATTGATTGGTGTAAAAGTTTTTACAACATGATAACCTTAAAGAAACCAGGTGAAGAAGAATCAAGAAAGTCTTCAACACGCCACCCTGGAAGTGTATCTAAATATTCTGATATGTTACTTGTGGAACAATTTATAAGTTGAATATTTCCACCAGTTTTGACATTGGTCTCCTACGGCGGAGGCGATCCGGCGTCGCTTCCAATAACTTAAGTTGTAGTCTTTGCAGTGAAAAGTGGTGGATTGGTGGGGGTCTTCCAGCTCTACGACTCTCCTGCAATGAGAGACATTACAGAAAGAAAGACTGTAGTAAAAGAGTAATCTTATCACAGGGGGGCAAGAACCTGATAATACGTTTCCATTGAGTTACTTAAGCTGTGATGGATAATTGATAGTGGTGCCACCAACCATGTATCTAAGAATCCACCAATTGCCAATAAATTTACATTTGAACATAACACTGTACAATACTCAATGGAGGACATGCTAAAATTAAATCGATCGGGTCCATTTCTAAGTCAATTTGCTTTCAATTAGCAAACTCACACAATCCTTAGGTTATAATGTGACATTTTATTCTGACTTTTGTGTTGTGCAGAATTTAACTACAAATAAGATGATTGGGCTGGGCCGACAGAGTAATAGTCTCTACTATCTCACGCCAAATCAGAGTCTACATCTATTCAACACCATCCACAACACATCCGAAATTTGGCATAGGCACCTTGAGTATCCTTCTATCACCTTCTCCCCCCCTCCCTTCAATTATTATCCAAAACCATTATAGAAGTTTCTTTTAATTTCAATAATATTTGTGTTGCTTGTCATTTAGAAAAACAATCCCGATTACCATTTTTCATTAGTATTATTTCCAGTCAAGAACCTTCATAAAATTTACTCTTATTTTGGAGCTCGTTATTTCTTGATAATTATAGATGATTATTTTCGCTATACTTGGGTCCATCTCATGCGTCATAAATCCGAAACTCAAGCTATCATTAAAAATTTATTTGCTTGGGGTAGAACTAGGGACGGATCCAGGATTTGCCACTAACCTACAACCCACTCATAAATACAATGCTTGTGCGCGGAGTTGTGTATTTCGTGGGTATCCTCCAAGACAAAAAGGATACGTTGTCAATGATTTCGCTGAAAAGAAACTTCTCACTTCACAAGATGTGTGTCATATTCCATTAAGACATATTTTCATACTCATCATTTCTCATAATGACTAACATGACACACCAAACTAGCCACAAACCATAAACATAGACATAGAGGAATCCTTAACCACCTCACCCATACAAACATGGACATCCAACACATACAGCCTCAGAATAAACTTCCTCAATCCAAACCAGCCTCATTGTCTAAAGCAGAACCAAACAGTCGATCAAATAGTCCTCATTGGTTGACCGGACCCTCGACCGAGGGAGATACTTCACTTAAAGTGATTTGATTTTTTCGTACCAAACCAAACCACGTCAAACTCTAAATCAACCAAACAAAACATTTTTTATCAATTCGGTTAACTAGAATTTTATGTTTTCCCTACAAAATTTATTTGAGAGGAAAATGTTCTTATTTGTGGAAAAAAAACTTTTGCATGTGAAAAAATTTTATAGCCACATTTGTAGAGCAAACATCGAGGGAATAGGTAAAAAAACAATAAATTTTTAAAATTTGTGGACTAAATTTTTTCCCTACAAACCCTTTGCAGAGAGATACAATATGTCACATAAGTTTTCTCCCAATAAAATCAATCGTCTGCTAAAGTTATTTATGCACACAACATGATTTTGCTTTTCCCTACAAATTATGTTGTGGGCTAAATCTTACTTTCCCCTACAAATAAATGTGTGAAAAGAATATTTGTGGAGTAAGATACACACATTTTTTCCCAACAATTAAAAATTTGTAAAAACATAGTACAAATTACTTTGTAAGCTAAACCCTATTTTTTTCTACAAATGATTTTTTGTAGGGAAAACATATTTATAGGTTATTCTTTATCTCAACAATTAAAGAATTTATAGGGAGAAGTTAAATTATTTTTATATATTTTATTTATGATTTATATTGTATTAATTTTTCTAACCTTATTCAAAATAATATAAAGATACAAAAGAAAAATTAAGTCCAGTGTCAATCAGTGTAACAGTAATGTAACATTAAATCCAAAAAATTGCACCATAACACAAATAACAATCATGCATTGTGTATGGTTATATCTGATGATGATGATGATGATGATAAACATGCTTTGTATCTATTATTATGTACCCAAAAAAACATAATTTTTCATCCTTATGAATTAGATATGTAACTCATCCTCATCAAAGTCATTCTCTTCGTCCTCAATAGTATCATCTTCCTCATTAGATTATTCTCCATGCTGGCCATAACAGCAGTATGCAGAGCAGCGTGGGCATGCTGGGCATCTTGAGTTGTCGGGTCTGCTCCGGCAGCTAGCAGAATCCTTACCAGTTCTCTGCCCTCTACATATTTATTCAAACATCAGAAAAGGTAAATTCCAGAACTCAACTTTCAAGGTAAAAGACTAGCACTGTGTATTCATTCATGGTAAACCTATTAGCACCAGATAACTATTATGACACTTCTATAAATAAAAAACCAAAAGTTTACCAGTTTCATGATCTTTCCTCAAGGCACCTCCCATGCATAATGCTGTTCCTACAGAAGATGGAATATCAATAGCATCAGCAATCTCTTCTGTAGATGCAAGTTCGGCCAATCTTTTGACAACAGCTACATTCCATGTTGTGACGCACAAGTGAAGTGGTCTGTAAAATAAAGAGGATTTGTTACAAGTCAATCAATAGAGAAGACTCACAAAATAACATGTTGGACATCTTGTACAATAAAAAGGTACAAGACATGTATCTACCTGGCAACCACATCACTAAATGTGACTGTTGTCGTCGTCTTTTTTGGTTCAAATAAATAGATGTGCTCTATGAGTTACTATTATATCTTTTCTCACAAATCATGTTAATGAGCTTGTCTTCCAAAGTTTTCCAATCTTTGAGCCTTTTAAAATGAAATAACTACCAAATTTGACATGCATTGCTAATTTTTTGTACAGTGAGATGCTTGATCGATAGGAATTTAAAATATAACAGAAACATGATTATGAAATAGATAGTCATAAAATACATAGCTAATTTCTGTTAATCCATAAAATACAGAGGAGCTATAAATCTACATAATTATGAAATAGATAGTCATACAAATAATAGGAACTACTCTTACTAGTATTCATCATTAAGGCCACAAAATTTCGCCTGACCAGCAATGTCCCAGCAATAAAACCTGATCTGCCCATAGTTCGGGAAGAAATCCAGTGGACGTATTTCCACACTAATATGATACACAAGGGACAACCAGAATAAACACAAACTGATTTGGCTTTGCGCCTGCCTTGTGCATCACGCTTCGGTTGTGACCTCAGTGACGTGATTTGACTAAATGGATTATAGTTTACACGTTATATGTAATATGATAAAGACTACCACTTCCAAAAATAAAGGATCCCTGATGATAGCACCAGTCCATATAAGTTAAAGTTCAATTACGTTAACTGAGTGTACTTAGATTCTCTATGTGATCCCTATCACTAGTTTCTCTATGTAACCCCTGCCACCACTTGCTCTTTCACATTCACTACCTTTTGAATTCCAGAAGTGTATTATCCAAGTAGGATAAATAAATGAAATTTCAGACTTAAATCCAACATTTCATACAGCAATGATTATTGATTCAGTCCTAAAATGAAAAGAACCTGTAAAAATTCTAGTTTGGGCTCTGTTTCCCTGAATCAACATTAAAGTTTTTCTACCTAATATATAGAAATTCCAATAATTTTATATCAGTTATTCATCACTAAACTTCAATCTATCTGAAAAGAGTGAATATGTAAAAGTCAAGACTCATCCAAAGCCAAAAATAGCTTAATTAGAAATCGGACTTACCCATACAAAGACTAACTTCATTTTCATTTTAGAACCAATATCACTTCTATACATTTATAATAGTGATCATATTACAGATATATTGAACACACTACACAAGAAAAAAAAGAAAACCAAAATCATAGTAAGTAAATGTCATTTACTCTATAGTACCGGACCATATCTCTACTTCAAATCGTTCAAAGCAAAAATGTAGAAACTCAGTATAGAAGGGCCTCTTGAAAACTCTGTTGAAATTAGAAATTTAACACAAATTAATAGAAAATATTTGCATAAACAGGGGGGAAAAAATTTTACCCGCAAAACTGTCATTACACACATCAGGGTTTAATCGTTGAATCATTTTCCAATGCTTCATGTGCACCCAGTTGTCCACCAAGACAAAGCACCAGAAGTTTCCTTCAAGCACAGCTTTAATTTCTCCAATGGAAGCTCTGAAATAGTTGCATCGTCCTTTTCATTTTCATTGCTGCGATTCAGGTTTCAGGGTTCGTCTGCCATTTTTCAGATTTCAATAAAGTATAAAATAAAGGTTTATGAAAGTGCAGGACATTAATCATTGTCACAGTACCAGAACAATGCGCAGAGGCGTTGCTGGAAATTCGATGACCAAGAGTTCGCCGGCGACGAGGAGGATCTGATGATGGTTACGACCGACGGTGAGGAGTTGAGGATGTGCAGAGGCGATTAGAGGGGAGTGAATAGTATAAGCTTGAAGCGTTCTAGGATTTGGTTTTTTTATAAAATTAATTCTTTTTTAATATTTTTAAATTAAAAGATTTCGCTATGAGATTTTAACAACGGGACGGAATAATTATCTTTCTTCTTCTTCTTCTTTTTTTTATTTCAATTTTCACTTTAAATATATATTTTTTAAGAATTAAAATTTAAAATGGAAAAAATTTTGCCACTAATTTTTAGCACGTCAAATATTTTTGTCGACAAAAGATATATCTTGCTCGTCAATTTTTTTGTGGGAAAAAAACAATTTTTGTGGTCATAAGTCCTTCCACTTTCGAAGATTTTGAAGCAAATTATTTATGTTGGGGAAAGTGAACTCCGTCGACAAATTTCAATTTGTCTTCCAAAATTTTGTAGGAAAAGTATAAATTTCTTGTAGTGATTCAGTTTAAAGCTACAGGTTAGCAAAAAAAAAAAAAAATAACATANAATTATCTTTCTTCTTCTTCTTCTTCTTTTTATTTCAATTTTCACTTTAAATATATATTTTTTAAGAATTAAAATTAAAAATGGAAAAAATTTTGCCACAAATTTTTAGCACGTCAAATATTTTTGTCGACAAAAGATATATCTTGCTCGTCAATTTTTTTGTTGGAAAAAAACAATTTTTGTGATCATAAGTCCTTCCGCTTTCGAAGATTTTGAAGCAAATTATTTTTGTTGGGGAAAGTGAACTCCGTCAACAAATTTCAATTTGTCTCCCAAAATTTTGTAAGAAAAGTATAAATTTCTTGTAGTGATTCAGTTTAAAGCTACAGGTTAGCAAAAAAAAAAAAAAATAACATATATCGAACAATTAGAACTATAAATGTTAGTCTAAAATATCACATTAAAATATAAATATTAGTATCAATACGAATATTACAAGCGAAAGTTCTACACTTCTAATGATTACCATGCAACAAAATGATAGAAACATTTTAGTTTTAATCCCTTAATCGATACTAATTTGCGCAACATATTCTATTGTAACATATGATTCTAATATCAATTAAAGGTGGGATGGGTAATTGTCTAACTAGGTATTAAATTTAATTGAGTTGGGTATTGGGTATTGGGGTTAATTGAGTTGGTTCTAATATTAATATATCATTTTAATTAGGATGTGTCTAGTTTTAATTGGGTGGAATAATATTTAGATTAATTTATTTTCAAATTTATTTTTGTAAACAGTTTGACGTTTTGAAACGGTTTACAAAAATTGAAAAATGAACCAAACCATTTCAAATCAGTTTAATTAGGTTCAAAATCAAAACGTTGACGAATTCACGCAGACCAAACAAACAATTTTGAAAAATGGATTTCAATTCGATTTTTGCGATTTAACGATTTTGTTGTTCAACCATATATATATATATACAGAAATGATCTAATGAGCATCGGTGCTCATCTTATCCTAAGCACCAATGGGTTGGCACATTAATTCATTGATGGATTGGAACTCAGAAA